AACACAGCTCTGATACCCGGGATAATGCCCGTCCCCACACCGCTTAAAATACCTCACCCAAGCATTCTTTAAGACCAAAAACAAATTACATCGGTACTTGCTCTTATGAAGGACAACTAAGAAACAGAAAAAAACTTATCTCGTGCAAAAGGTGCTATTATAATATCAGATTTACCTGTGCCCCCACTGAACCAAGGTAACATATATATTAAGTAAAATGAATAGATATCACCAATGAAACCATGGTCTCAGCTCCCCACATAAAGTTCAGGCCCAGCTGACTTGTGTCCGAAACATAAGTTCTTACCTATTTAGTCCAAAGATATGGAATACTTGTCCAAATAAGTTTTCCCTCTTCAGTACGATGATACTCTACTGAACTCGCTAATCTTAACATTCTTGTGACAAATTGTTCTTCTTATGCCCTCATATTTCTAGTAACTTTGTAAGGTGATTGACAAACATTCTTATCCTCCTCCTTGGCTCTTTTACTGGCCTTGTATATTTCATCCTCTGAAGACGATGTAGCCCTCCTCGCTACTTAATGTTGCCACACCCTAGCGACCATCGGATCACTAGAAGCCATCAGTAGATACCGAACAGAACCTGTATCCCTATGCGTTATTGCAGTGTTTCAAGCATTGCAGACGGTTTAAGGACAAGCCTCGTATGTTGCCGAGCGTTATAAACAACATAAGGATGGCGGCGCTCCACACATCTGGCTGAGTGAAGGATGCCCCTTCGTGTCGCAGTCCTCTTGAGTATACCTTATCACAGGATGCAGCCACTTCGCACCTTCCCCTATATCCCCCCCTCGAGCAAGCCCAGCGACTCAACCACCTTTTCACGGCCAGATAAATCTGACACTCCGGCCTGTGGAAGCAAGCACCGCCCAGACACGTGTTTGTGTGTCTATATATATTTTTTTCTTTTTCTTTCTTTATTTCTTTTTCTTTTTTTCTTTATGTATATTTATATATATTCATGTACGTATATGTATATATATTATATATATATTATATACATATATTTATGTATATATACATATATTTATACACACATATATACATATATATTATATATATATGTATTATATATATATATATATATATACATATAAATATATATATATATATATATATATATATATATATATATATATATATATATGCATATATATATATATATATATATATATATATATATATATATATATATATATATATATATATATATATATGCGTGTGTGTGTGTGGTGTATATATATATATATATATATATATATATATATATATATATATATATATATACATATATATATACATATATATATACATATATATATACATATATATATATATATATATATATATATATATATATATATATATATATACATATATATATGCATATATATATATATATATATATATATATATATATATATATATATATATGTATATATATGCATATATATATATATATATATATATATATATATATATATATATATATATGCATATATATATATATATATATATATATATATATATATATATATATATATATATACATATACATTTATATATTATATACATGTAAGGACCTGTTACAAAAGACTTAAAGACGAGACACAAAGGCACTATATAACGTCCAGGTTTAATTTCTATAAGGGAAAACTGACAGAATCAGGGCTTTTGGGACATTTATCTTGATTCTTCTGAACAGTTACTGCCATCCCCAAATACTCTTGTTGACTGAGTTCATGGCTTCTGCTGCTGGGCCAATTCGTCTACTGATTTCCTGGACTGACTGCCTTGTCACGCACTAGACTACTAAGGTATGTAAAACTCTCTGTGACTTCAAACACCCTGACCGCAAGCATGCGTCGACTGAACAGGTTCTGCTATCAGCCCCTAATATCCTGGATGTTGGTCTTGGCCCAGGAGACCTGAATGCATCAGAAACTGCCATCAATAATTCCAGACTCAGATAGAATAGCAACATTGTCAGGGTTAGTGACCTCAAGAAGGCCCAGTGTTCTTCCACAGTCCATGCAAGCGCTGAAAAGTGTTGGCACAAGAACATAGCCTTGCCTCACTCCTGAATTAACAGGGAAGAAACTCGACAGGTCTCCACCACACTTTACAGCACTTTTATTAGCATTATATAGGCTTACTATATGTCCAATAAGCCTTGTTGGGTTTCCTTTAAGTCTCAGGATATCCCACAGCGATCTGCAACGCATTGCGTCAAATGTAGGTCGATGCAGGTTGCAAGCATCCTATGACCAAACTCACAATGGCCTTCTACAATGACTTGAAGTACTATGATAAAGTCTATTGTGAACTTACCAGGAGTGGATCCAGATTACTCCACCTTGACCACCTTAATAGGTGGTCAAGGATGAGTCTCAGAAGAATGTGAATGTGAACCTTACCTGGTATGCTGAGCAGGTAGTTGCTGTAGTGCCATTGTTCCCCTTTCCCCTTTAAGAGAGTGTTGACCACACCCCTCTGTAGGTCCAGGGGAATTGTACTGGACTGCCAGATGGCAGCTAGAACAGTATGCAAGTCCCATGCTGTAGGTTCACCACTAGCCTAGGAACTTCTTCACTGATGGGTGGATCCGGCACAGGGGTAGCGACATTATGATCTGAGATGATCCATCCATCCACTGAATGGATTGCAATTATTTGTGAGGAGGGCCTGAAATTCAATTTTCTCTGGGCTTGGTAATCAGGACGAAGGTCATTTACAAAGAAATGGCCCTCTACCTCCTTAGCAAGATTCCAGATGTATTGCTACTTGTCCCTTCCCAGCCGTACCTGAGCCCTGCACACTATGGAATGGTGCAAATCCTGATTGTCATTCTTTCGAGCTATACAGCAAGCACCAGCGAGATGAAATTCGCTAATGGTCTCCTAAGCCGCGTCAAGTGTTTTGCACTTGAAGAATTTCCACAGAGAAAGAGGCTAAGAGAAACTTCGTAGAAGGCACAATCACAACCAGATACCGAACTGAAGTCTTCTAGGATAATGTAAATCTAGGGGACAATGGCCTGCCACATATATGAGTTTCACTTCGAGTATACAAACATCGGTAGAAGCGTATATAACAATAAGAAACATGAATTAAAAAACAATATTCAATCTCAGTGCCATTATATGCTCATCAACTAGAGGAACCAGCACTACCGAAGTTTGGTTCGACTGGACCCCAACCGCTTCAAGTTATCATCCTATCTTAAAGCCTGGATGTTCCAAGTTGAAGGCATACTGATATAGCAGAATTTAGTGCCAGAAGTAATAGAGTAAATTAAAACAATTATCTAGCATGTCTATAGGTAGTTGAGTTCTTAAATTGTTTCATAATTTAAAGGGAGGAGGAAGTCACGGGAGTTTGTCATCATGGTTCTTTTTCAGATGGGAAACGCGTTCTCCTTCCATGCACGTTTGGGAAAGGTGTGGCGCCATGTTTGAACACCAACCCATAATTCCTAGAAAAGATTCTATTTCTCTCTTTCTCACTTTTTTCCCCGTCATCAACGTCGAACATTTGAAGATTATTACTATTATCTTTATAGAGTAGGAACAGGAATTTAATTTACCGACCAACTTGCAACAAGTGAATAACTGGTAATTTACAAAAGTTATTTGAGGCTGAATACTCACAGAATGAGGTGTGGTAATTTCTAAGTCCCACGGTACAGCAAGTCAAGAGCTAAATGACTCACCTGCTTCCCTAGCATGTTAAGCACTGGAGGGTAAACCGCCTTTGTGACAAGCAATCTAGACACACTCACTTGTATGTAGGCCGTTTTCTTGAATGTGCTGCAACGAAATATTTTATGAATAGGGTCAGAATGACAAGTTAAATAAACTTACCTCTTGAGCAACAAGTTTATTTTTCTAAATACGCATCGACAGTGTATTTGTATTAAAAAAAAAAAAAAAAGAGACTGTATATAAAGGTAAAGCTAATCAACAAATAAATGTATGTATGTATACATATGCATATATATACACACACACGTGATATATATATATGTGTACATATATATATATATCTGTGTGTGTGTACATATATATATATATATATATATATATATATATATATATATATATACATAGATACACATGTGCGTGTGTGTATATGTATATGTATACACACACACACACACACACACACACACACACACACACACATATATATATATATATATATATATATATATATATATATACATATGTATATATTTATACATATATGTGTGTGTGATATATATGTATATATATATATATATATATATATATATATATATATATATATATATATATATATATATATATATATATATATATATATATATATATATATATATATATATTTATAATGTGTGTGTGATATATATGTATATATATATATATATATATATATATATATATATATATATATATATATATATACATATATATATACATATATATATATATATATATATATATATATATATATATATATATATATATATATATATATATATATATATATGCATATATATATATATATATGTGTATATATATAAATATATATAATGTATGTATACATGTATATTTTTATGGATAAGTATATTATATATATATACATACACATATAAATATATATATATATAATATATATATTATGATAAGTATATATATATATACATACACATATAATTATATATATATATATATATATATATATATATATATATATATATATATATATATACATATATAATATATATATATATATATATATATATATATATATATATATATATATATACATACATATATAAATATATATATATATATATATATATATATATATATATATATATACATATATATATATGTATATATATATATATATATATATATATATATATATATATATATATATATATATATATATATATATACATAAATATATAAATATATATTTCCCTGAAATGTGAATATTTATGCGCTTATAACTTGTAGTCTGAACAACCAGTAATTAATCCTTGCATCATCATATATGCAGCCGAATAACTTTACAAAAAAACACTTTCTTTTCATAACATATATTAATATTTTTCCTTTAACACGAGCCCAAAATCAAGCACATTAAAATGAAGTGCAAATATCCAAAGAGTTTTCAAAGACTAAAGTCATCGTTAGTGTCCATACAATCACTTTTATCCTGAATATTTTACATTTTAGAGTAAACTTTAATATTCCATCTTCATGGCAGGCATCCCTAATGTGTTTAAGAAATTTCTAATATCTTCCATACTTGCAGGATATGCTTCTTCTTCAAGCGTTTCTGGTTTTACTACAATTGAGAGATCTTCCATTTTCAGCTGTTCCTTGTACATAGTAATTTCTGTGGATTCCATATTGTTTTCTCTGAAGAAGTCAGGCTCAGTTTTCACTATGCTTAGCATGTCTTCTAAATTTGACGGTACTTTTTCCGTTTTTACTGCTACCGTGCTTCCAAAATCTGACTGTACGTTTTGCGTTTGCACAACACACTGCCCTTCTTCATAATCTAACAGCATGCTTGTAATCTGATCTGCACACGACGTATCTTGAGTTTCTTCCAAAGTTATTGGTTCAGTTTTAATCTTCACCTTTTTATGTACTGGCTGGAATTCACTCTCCCTGAACGCTTCTATTTTCTCTTCTATAGGCACAAGTTTCCTTTTCTCACCTTCATCTTTTCTGCTTTCCTCTACGCTCATGGTATTATCACCTCTTCTTTCTTCCCCTTCACTTCCCTTTCTGCATTCCTCTTCGTTAACGGTATAGTCATCTTGCCTTTCTTCAGATTCATTTCCTTCTCTGTTTTTCTCTTCACTAGTGGCTGTATCACCTTCCCCCTTTTCTCCTTCATTCCCCTCTTTATGCATTGGCTGGGACACTCTCGCTCTCAACTCTTCTTCCTCTTCTACAGTGTCACCTGTCATTTTCTCATCTTGATTTCCTGTTCTATATTCTGTTTCGCTAATGGCATTATCTCCTTTACTTTTTTCCTCTTCATTTTCCTTTCTGCAATCCTCTTTACCCACGGCTTGATCACCCCTCCTTTCTTCATCACTTCTTTTTCTGTGATTCTCGTCGCTAATAGCATTATTCACTGGCTTGTCTCTGCATTCTAAGGGCTGATAAGTAAGCTTGCTCACTTCTACACAAGCGATTCTCCCCACTCTGTCCATGGGGTTTTCAGAAACGTTAGCTCTTTCCAGTATCGTGACTTCGAAGTCTGGTGAAGATTCTGGTTCTGCTTCATAGTCTTCTACTTTTCCTTCCTTTGTAGCCTGTTGTAGGACATTCCTTCTCATTTCACTTTTTATACTTTTCTTTTTATGCTTTTTACATATTGTTTTGAATAATTCTTCGGCGAAGGATCCCACTTTACAAGACATCTCCTTAATCAGATGAAAACTTTTGTGGTTACATTTCCAGTCCCCCTTTCTTCCTTGTGTTTTCGTGATCATGCCAATCTTTCCGGAGCTTGTGTCTGTTTGTCCTTCCTGTTTCTTGTTCTGTTGTTTTATGTTCCATGATATATAATCATTCTTGTCTCTGTGTTTATCTTTATGCTTAATTGGTCTCTTCATTCTTCTGTATCCATTTCTTTTTGGTTTTCTCTCACTCTTATCTTCACTTTCCCTTTCTGTCTGCGGACTGTACAACTTTCTTCTATTTTCATATAGTCTTTTATATTTCTCAGATTTTATCATTCTCTTTTCTTTCTTCTGCTGACTATCTTCTGCTTCTGTCATGTAATCTTTATCTTCAGAACAGGACGACTGATTTACCTCAATATCCCGTAAGTCTTTTGTAGAATTTTTTTTATGTTGATGACGATGCCGTTCTGTCTTTTGTAACATGACTGATGTATCGATCTTCCGCACATCTGGTGGAGTTCCTGTCGATGCCTTCAGAACGTGATTCCTTACACCTATTAAGGAAGATTCATCATTCATGTTTCGCGTTTCACCAGAATTGCACCGGGGAACAACAACTCTGATTCTAGGTTCTGTATAATCCTTTGGTGGAGTTGCAACACAGAGCTGCCCTTTTGATATTTGGTTATGGACTTCTACAACCTTATCTATGAGGTTTGCGTCTTCCCTTGAAGATTCGAGTGCTTCTGAAATTATGTCATTTATTCCATTACTTGCAGTACTTTCCGTAAGATCTTTAATCATACTTTGTAGATCCCCCTTTTCACAGTGCTTTTTTGTAGCCACTATTTCTTTTTGCCAGCAGCAATGGAGTTTATTCTGGTTTACACGGATGAAATCAGAGAATCCATTTGGAGTTGTGATGATACTATTTCTATTGATCTTCATCCTGTAATACCTACATTCGTGCCACTTAGTGAGGCTCGATTGGAAAACACGTTTTGTCTTGCATCCATGTTGACAATTCTGTACTTGGTGTCTTGACTGTTGATCACGCAA